GCGGGTTCTCAATTACGAAAGGTTTTTTTTCGATATTAGTCCCTAAAACCTTTCATGTTTTGAAATTAGTTCCTCAAATCACTGAATTTGCTATTACATGTCCTAAGGCTATTTTCAAAATAATCCATCAAATTATTGAAATTTCTATTAGATCTCCCAATTAATAAGTTATTTTCGAATTAGTCCCTCAAATCAAATGTGATGTACCAATAAGAGGGATCTAATAGCAATTTCAATGATTGGAGAGACTAATTTCGAAGTTCAGATATGATGGGACCTAATAGCAATTTCAACAATTCGAGGGACTAATTTCGATATAAGAGATATTTAAGGGACTAATACCGAAAAAGCCTATTTAAAAATTGAGCTGCAGTATATTTTTTGGTTGGGTGCGGTCTAGTGGAAAGTAAGAGATTTTTGTGGGGATCATGTGGTTTTCTTAGTGGGGTCACCTATGACTGGAGTTTTTGGATCATTGGGTAAAATGGGGTTGGGTCCTTGTATTCATTGAAAGGTGGTGACATGTCATTTCTGAAGTTTTTGGATAGGTGGGTGTTAAATGGGGTTGGGTCCTTGAATTCCTTAACCAAAGTGGTGTGACGTGACACCACTTTGGTCAAGGTGGATCCGCCTTGTGCGTGTGCACGCCTGATATGAATTGAGAAATCTTGATTTCCTCAGCATAAATATTCCTGAAGTTCTTGAATTTGTTGAGTAAAGCATAGAAACAACTTTCCAAAAGACAAACATGGTGAATTACAGGTCTTATGGATATGGTACTGACCAACTTCTTAAAGTAATTGTGAGGGAGGACAACTTGGTTAATAATATAATTTGAAAGACCTTAATAAAATTCAAAATGAGTTAACGGACTGAATAGAAAGTCCTAAACTTATGGATGTTGTTAACAAAAAGACAAACCACTAACCTCAGCCCACAAGCATAGTGCTGTTGAGACTATGCCTGTGTAAATTGCAGGTATCCAAGGAAATGAAACCATCCAATGCCACCACGATGACCATTCCCCAGATCCAGATCCAGATCCAGTGTCCAGCTGCAGCAACTGACTAACAATGTCTCTACATATGAACCAGAATGCTGACGACAAAGCAACAACAGAAACCTAAATAGATATTCATCAGTAGAAATGATGAAACCACTAACAAAGAAACCAGCAAACATATATTCCTGTTACCTGATAGCCAAGAAGGGCCAAAAACTTCTTCTTACTTGTGTTTCTTGAGATTTGCTCTGTCCTAAAAATGTGCACCCCAAAAAACACTGCGCTCATGATGTTCAAAATATCACCAACCTTTACAGAAATTATAAAAAATTCAGGAAACCCCAAGTTTTGTGCTCCGTAAGTTGGATGTCTACAAAATACATATAATTACTCACACAAGGGGGCGAGCCACCATATTCCAGAATACCTACTCCTACGAGAGATAGCAGTGCCCCGCTCCATGTGAGAGAAGGGATTGTTGCTCCAAACATGCCATTAATCAAGGGAACGACAATTATCTGCCCATCCAAGTATATGCCGTAAATTAAAAAACTGTTATCTGCCCAGTTTGTTCTAAAGAAACGCTAGACGACTACAAATGTTCAATCCATGTGAGATTACCGTGAAAGCAGAGATGAAAGATGCCTGCCCAGCCTCAGATGTCAGCAACCCAAGGGCCTGACTAAGGTATCCTAAACTTACCCAAAGACCCAGCTCTATTCCAGCTGAACGAGTCTGGCTATCCTCACGTGCCTTTACAATAAAGGGCACAAAGGGGATAGCGGTAATTGTAAATCTCACTACATTGAAAAATGCAGGGTCCACAATCTGTTCGACCTCCTTCAGAACTGGAATGTCACTTGCTGAGAAATAGGTAAGAACAGGATTACTAAGATAAACATGCCCAAAATAAAGAGAAGAGATGCATAGTTGAATGCTAATACTTACAAGAAAGCACAGAAAGCTCTTTAAGAAGGCGAACTAAGTAAGATAACACAATCGATACAGAGTCCATGAAGAAAAAGATATTGAATAGCTTGTAGGACTAAAAAATGTGATACTAAAAGGCATGTAAGTTGTTGTAGTCATTGTGACTCCTTAAAGGGAGAAGGAATGTAAGAAAAGGAAGTAACCCTCAAATTTGATCTGGCAATATTGTGCTGCACCATAAATTTTTTAGCCATATATGTATATCTTAAGCCATTTCCATATAAGATGATCCAAGTTCCAAAGCAAATTTCTCACTAATTTGGTGGAAACCTCAAACTCCGGATACTATTGGTCTAAAACATTTGTAACTTCACAGATCAAATCTCAATTAAGAAGTCTCACGATTGACAATCACATAAGATTAGATAATAATTTTTTGTTGAAATGCACATTTAAACTAATGTCGAAGATTTACTATTAAGGTTACAAGATGTGTGTATGTGTTCCTGTAAAAAGGAAAAATTGTGTGTTCATAATTCAAGAAAATGTAGAATTAGTTTGAGATTTGATGCAAAAAAAAATCCTTTTTTTTTTGGTATCACGGAACTATGTGCAAAACACAAGTCCTATTTTCATGTACAAGTATTTATCATTGTGTAAGATACAACCATCAGGTATAGCCTGGAAAAGATAGTAATAAGAACAATACGAAAAAATGTCTGACGTGCCAACAACTATTATTGAAACGAATTTGATTTGTTGAGTGATTGCACATAACAGAGGCTTATGTTTTTCATAATAATGAGAATGGAGCATCATCACAAGTAAATGTGTACTACAGCTCATTAACCTCCAGCCTTTAGATATCAAATTCAAAGTTAAGTTGGAGAAAGTGCAATAGGTTTTCATTAAAAAAATTGTAGAGGAAAGAAATCCCACAAATTCGCATACACACAAAAAATATAGAGGAAAAAAAATCACCTTTGCCACCTATCATTGATACCCTTCATCTAACTATGCATTCTCTGTAATTTATTTAACATATGCAAATTAGTGAAACATTACATTGTGATACTCGGTCCTACTGGCTAAGGTGCAAAATTTATACAAAAGTTACTGTCGAATTGCAAATTTGAAATACATGAATATGGTGTTGCTACTAGATTTTAGATTATTGTCATTCAAGCTTTCCTCTGTACTATGGATTAGTGAACAATCTTATCGATGTTGATTAATTAAAACTGTCATATGCAACAAAGCAAAAAATCATGATCCCCTTAAC